TTAAGCCATCATCCCAAACTCTCCCTCTTTCATCCCAAAGAACCTTCCCAGAATGTAATGAGGTTTGTCAGTTGAAGGGCTCCTTCAAGGCTATCAGAATCAGAGCCTGAAGGGCTAGAAGCCAAATCCACATTCCCCAAAGCTCTACCACATACTTCCAGTTGGGGAGCTGATGTTTGGATGTCTTTGAAATCCAAGGATACCTACTCTGCTCACATCTGGAAGGAAAGAGAAGACACCTGAAGATTAACCACCCTCAAACATCTCTCTGTACAGAAAAATAGCTGGTATTTATTTTCTAGCACTTCTCTGGCTTTTTTCCTATCTCCGGCTGGCAGGCTCATCTCAGTTGCAGAGGCCTCATCCCACCCAACCTCTTCCACTCCCTATCATCCCCCTTCGTCCCCAAAAGTGCAGCTGCAGACTCCATGAGCCCATCCCTCTGAGGCACTCATCTTTAACATGTGTCTAGAGGGTCCCCTGTTGGAACCTAGCAGTCTCGGGCATGCTCACAACCACAGTAAAAATAGGAAAGGTCAAGAAAGACTTGCTTTTGTCTCTGGCCACTTCTAGCAGTTTCAATGCTAGCATAATGTAGGCACTCAAGTACTCTTGCACCCATTATTACTAGAATGAATGACTAGAACTAATACCTGGCTGAGTCTTGGGTTTCCCAACTTCCCTCATCTAGCTATTGGTACAGCAATTAGGGCAATTGGTCTGACAAGGTGAACAAGCCTGAGGCCGGCACACTACTGACCAGTGTTGCAACGTGTGGTTGTCATTGGGCCTCCCAAGTGATTGTAAAATCACTGAGTCTGAACAAACTGCCGCTTGACAGTATATGCCACCCAGGATTCTGTATCATGGCCAGCACAAAGCTAGGAATTAATAACTGTGAGTGATTATCACGGAAACTGTCTCTAGGAAAAATGACCAGGTTTTTACCATTCAACCTTGGGGAGATAAAATCAAGCCTAGCAGAAAAAAGACAAATGATCTAAGAGCAAATGCAGGACTCCAGATCCAAAGAGCATTCTGAGGCCTGATTATACACCTGTCTCATCTCCCTGTTTCAGAGGGGAGGGGGTGTCTCCATCCAGCCCATCAACCAACTCCAAACCCTGCACTCATTCTAGACCCTCCCCAACACCTCCTTGCCCTTATTCCCTGTCAATTTTGCCTCTCTGTAGGTCTCTGCTTGCCCCACTCTGTGGGACCTGTGAAGACCCTCCTTGTCTCCTGCTACAACCTCCCTTCAGCGTTCTCCATCCAACACCAGCCCTGATTCTAGAGCATTGCCCTACCTAAAACCCACCAATGAACAAGAATGGCTAACTATTTACCCTTGTGAAGTCTGGGTAATGGGAACATGGAGGATTATTTTATTATTCTCATTATGTTTGTGTATGCTTGAAATCTTTCATAATAAAACGACTCTCCAACGGCCTCCAGGGATCTCAGGGTAAAGTCCGAAGTCCGAAGACTGACATTCAAGACCCCTCAGGATCTGCCTCTACCCGATTTAACCAGTTAACCTCCTGGCACTCACCAGGCTGCAGCTTCTCTGTTTTCCCAACCTTTGGAACCCAACTCTCTCTTGCAGCCCTAGTTTTACCCCATGCATCTTCTTCTTACAGAACACATTTCCCCTTGTGCCCTGCCTAGAAAACACCTCCTAATCCCTTGGAAATCTAATGCAAATGATCCCTGGTCTGGGTCACCTTCCCTACCTTCTGGGGGCAGGGAAGAGGGTGCCTCCTCAGGTCTGATATACAACAAATACCCAATAGGTGTTTAAGAGAGACCAGAATGTCTTGGTTAATAGAATGTGTGCAATATTTACTTGAACTTAGGCAAGTAGGGTAATCTTTCTTGGCTTCTGCTTCTGTCTCTATAAAATGAAGATAATAGCAGTACTTACCTCACAAGGCTGGGGTAACGATTCAGCGGTATTCTCTGTGTAAACAGTTTAACACAGTACCCGGCAGAGAGAAGGGAAGAAAGAGGGAGAGAGAGAGGGAGAGATGCTGACTGACTGACAGACAGACATACTTCAATCAAAGAATATAGTGGATAATTATGCAGCTTGTCTTAAATGAAATGCTTCCAAATCCTACAGGGAAAGCATTGCCACTTAGCTCTTCCTGGGAGGTAGAGAAATTCGTGGAAAATCGTTGACATTAAAGTCACGATTCCTTTCTCGGGCTCAGGGGCTATTCATACTTTGGAGGCTTTTCAGAATTCGAGGGGAGTCCTGGACCCTCCTATTTGGAAGAATCTACTATTTGGAAGGATAGTGCAGGGTCTGGGGGCTAGGAGGGCACGGGGTTTGCACGAAAATCAGCCCCGGTGACAATCCCCAGTCTGTGAGGTCTCGGTGGGCTCGGGGCCCCAGGGGTGGGAATCCGGAGTGAGAAAATCTGAGTGGGGT